GGCTTCCCCTCAACGCCTTCCCCATCCTCAGGGCCAAATTTGGGTATTCTCTAATTTCATGGTATCACCCAACTTCACCCAACTCACGCATGTTGCTGTGAGTATTTTTTCTTGGCCTTTCTTTGCAAACAGACATTGCACAGAAAGCAGGCTCTGGCTCTGCAGGCTTGACCCCTGCACATCCTCCCTCAGGGGCACCCACAGGATTTTTTTCTCTCAAGCAGGGAGAACAAAACAGAGCCAATTGGAGGGTGAGATGTAGGCATAGAAAATTCCACAGCCAGCAGAGCACCCTCTTAACACCTGAAACACATCCTTTGGATATTTAGTCATTTGGTGAGCCTTTGGTGAGAGGCCTGAGACATGAGAAACACAAAGGTAGGACAAGCTTGCCTCGCAAAGAGCTCTGCTGAGGGAACTTTTTCAAGGTGCCAACGCTGCCCATGAAGCCCACCCCTGGTCTCCAGCATTCATTTGAGAGAACCTGCACTTTTCCCTTGAAAAATAATTTATGTGAAYAGGAGGGATTCACCTAGCACTGCTYTAAAGRTAATATCTTGAAGGACAGGTGGAAAAGAGCACACTGAGCAGCTTCTGTTTGCCAGCCCAATCCTGCAACACTGCAAGGTGTTAGAGATTCTCCACATTTGTGTGTGGAGTGTATTCCTCTACATGACACTCCAGGAGATTTCRTTGCCACTGTTCACCCTCCTGCCTGCATCTTTAGCACATGGACACCCAGAACATGTTCCTCACCTTTTCCCAYGTTCTAATGAATTATGGCCACGTGCCTGAAGCCTCTAAACCCTCAATCACAAGTCTCTGGGTTTGCCTATCTCTGTTTAATGTTGTTAATCACAGAAAACACTGATAAAATTACCTTTGCCCTTCCTCACATGATAATCTCAGGCAAACACGGCATAAAGGTTACACACTCACCCTAACACTCATTACTTTACAAAAGCTGTATAAAACAAGCTGTGAAATTTATCTTCTAGCTCTTGTCAACTGTTTTCAAATACTTCAATCACAAACACGTAGTTGAAAGCGCCCTGARAGGGATGGTTATCAGAACTGAGACRGGAGGAATTTCCGGCTTTCTGTTTTGTTTTTCCATCCCCAGACTGACTAAGGTCCAGCTTGGAGGTGGTGACCTGCAAAGTTTTCATTTCAAGAGTGCCTGAATGAAGGCTCTGCAATGGAGGCCACAGCTACTGCTCTGAGCCTGAGGTGGACAAGAAAATATTAATTTAAAAAAAAAATAACCAACAACAACAACAACAACAAACCCCAAAAACCAAAAACAAACAAACAAAAAAAAACCCATAACAAAACCAAATTTGTAAGAATAAATTCACATCAGCTGTGACTCAGGAAAGCTCTTAAACATGCAGTTTTAGAAAATGTACATCTAATTTTGCTCTGAAAATGTTTCTGTATGAGTGAACGATGTTTGGAATGAGATCTCCATGACTGTACACAGTAAACAGATCTGCTGCCAAATCCCAAGTCTGCCTGACAATCACCATGGTACATCTTATTGCTGAAATATGTCAGATGAAGGTCACAACAAGTGTTAAATAACTATCCAAAAACATAACAGCTAGCGATACCTGTGGCTAAATCAGGCCTACAGTGATGTTTACAAGATATATTTAACAGGCACTGCAGAGACATGACAGATACCAGCCCAACAGTGACGAGTGAGGACTTTTGCTGTGCCCCAGCTGCYTTCTCTGGACCTACAAAGTCACCCCTTCTTACACACCCCATCTGTTTTCAAATGCACTCTCCATGCTACAGCACATGGATCTGCTTTTCTGTGCCATAGATCTCACTCATCCTGTCATTCCCGTGTAGAACCACTAAAGAAAACACAAAGATGCTTTACCAACACAAAATATTTTATTTTCCAGTTTTGAAGCTGATTGAACTCACAGTTAACCATCCCCAATGCTGTTTTGAAATTCAGTACTGCTCTTCAAGCCTATGTATGCACCTGTGGCCTAGATTACATCGATAAAAACCAACATTAGGAATATGCTAATAGTCATAATGTCAAAATACATTAAGAAGATTTTTCATGTTAAGAACAAGTTAGCTGATCCCACTTAATTTTAATGCACTCACTCTAATGCAGAGTAAAAATTTCCACATAAATTATTTTTCAAGGGAAAAGTGCAGGTTCTCTCAAATGAATGCAGTTCAAGAGTCTGTATTAATTTCCCAGACTGCCTATTTGGAGAAAAATATTAAATATAAAAATTGCTTCAACCATGTCAAAACAAAAATAATTCAAGTTTTCTACAATAATGGAATCCTTCAGTTGTTAAGGTAAATATTGGGTCTGACCTCAGTCAGAAAGGAGAAAACATTCTAAGTCAGCCTCAATTTCTACTTCAGATGTTTTCCAAATATTTCATTTCCCAGCAATTCCCAAACTGAATGCAGTTTTTTAATTCAATGTAAGCCATAAAAAAAGACCCACTGTGTGTTGGAGTGGGTCCAGAGAAGGRCCACAGAAATTAAGAGAGGGCTGGAGCACTTCACGCTGCAAAGTCAAGCTGAAGGAGAGGGGACTCTTCAGCCTGGGGAATAAAAGATTCTGGGAAGAGGCCACTTTATTGTGGYCTTRCAGTACCTAAAGKGGACTACAAGATGGGGACACRCTTTTTAGCAGGGCCTGTTGCAACAGGACAAGGGATAAGAGTTTTAAACTACAAGAGGGTAGATTTAGACTAGACATAAGGAAGATAWTTTTTGCWATGAGAGTGGCAAAATAATGGAATGGGTTAAAAGAATGGGTGGCCCAGAGAGGTGGCAGATGCTCCATTCCTGGTAACATTCAAGGTCRKGTTGGATGRGGCTCTCAGCAACCTGATCTAGTTGAAAATGTCCCTGCTCATGCAGGGGACTTGGATTAGATGACCTCTAAAAGTCTCTTCCTATCTCCATTTTCCAAGCAGAAAATGGACCATGCAAAGCACCATGATAACATCACAGACCAGTGGCAGAAAACATTCCAGACTCTAACTCCTAATTTTGTTTTCCAGGTGAGTGACAGAGAGCTTGCTGTCCCTAGGAAGAACATCTGACATATTTACACACAGTAATTGTGTATTTACCAGCTTAGGAGGTGAATTGCCAAGGAATGTAAAAAGTCTTGCCCTAGAGTGATGATGGTTTCCGTAGGTGGAGAGCCCWCATGGGTTTGGGGATTTCAGAACAAAAATCTGTGACTTTATTTACTGATCAGAATGATGAGCTTGTGGTATAGAGTGAGAGATGATCTATTGTAATGGAGGAAGCACGGAAAAATGCTGTGTTGGACATATGACAGCAATCCAAGATGAAATAAGATTTAAAAAGTAAAAAAAAAAAGATAAGAAATAATTACTCTGAATTAACTCTAAATCATAGCCATTCTAATAGCTAAAAAATAAAAATAAAAATAAAATAAAATCACATTGTGAGACAGTTTGGCAGCATCAAGTACTCAGTAACAGCATAAAATGGTATAAAATCTTAGCAAATTACATGGTAGGAAAACATTCACACCATGTAAACATCTCTGGAGATTCATCAGGGTTATCTGTCCATTATCAATCCTTTCAGCATCACAGGCATTTATGTCAGAAGYTATTCTGACATGGACAGGGGTTATTTTTGGTGCAAGAAAACACAAGTTCCTGAAGCTCAGCTTAAAGCTCCTGCAGAACAGGAGCACAGAGAGCTTCTAAACCTTTGGCAATCCACCTTCAACAACTGCTCCATTCAGGATAATCTTTGGAGTCTGCTTCTTGTCCATGGGTTCTTCAGATGMACACTCTGGAGGCTCTAGGTCATGGTATTTTCTCCGATAGACCACTCTTGAGATTACAGTTATCAGAAACATTTCCATGATCAGCAGCTGCTGGGCTATATCTAGCAAAAAAAAAAAAAAGAAAAAGGGAGGCAAAGAAAAGCCCTCCAAAAGGTGAAATTGCTGTCAGACAAAAAATGAATTAATTTTTTAATTTTCACCAGTGTAAATGGAACAAACTCAATCATCCTGCCCCCATGTCTCTCTCACTCAGCAATGACATCAATTATAGATTTTCAGTATTGCCTATCAATAAGCATGCAAAAAGTTATGCATCCAAAACACAAGAGACTTAACAGTAATTATTATGGGTGTTGGTTCCCCTTCCTCTCWTTTCTCATGCCAGCTCATCTCCTTATCAAGTTCTTCTTCATGACCATGACAGCTATAAAACTTTTGYTCTTGTTTTTAAAGTAAAAACTGAGATTCTCTGAAGACTAGTGATCCCAGAAAATTAGTATTTTGGGAAAACACCAGAGATTGCCATTAGCAGCACTGAACTGGTACTTTTATGAGTAAATGAAGAACATTCTTCCCCCAAAAAACTTACATGATCCTCTTGCTGTAGAGGAGAGTGGTGGAGCACAGGGGATGATTTTTTGTGTAGCGAATATGTTGATAATAGTGGTCTGCAGGTGGTTCAAAATGACAATAAACTGCACCAGAAAGGGAAAACAAATGCCTTAGCGACCAGAAAGGGGTTTATAGTTCACAAAACAATTCTGCTTTGATAACAGAACCTCGCTTGCCTCATTCCTCCTTGCTTGCCCTCCYTTTCCACCCAACTACCAGTAGGGTGCCTGCCATTCTTCAGAATTCATCTTAAGGTCAGGATGATATTGCTCTGAATAGGAGTATTAAWTTAATCCTGGACTTGAAAAGTGTTTCATCTCAGCCCTTCATTTGGGAGGTACATTATACACAGACCTCCCAGCAGGGATTTCAAATAATACAACAATGTTTGAAAAATGCCTGTTAATTTGACCCATGAGCTTATGTTCTTCCTCAATGGAAGAAGGACTCAAAGAACGTTTTTCCTGTTGTTTCCTCTTTTTGCCACAGTAGTCCCCAAATTATTTGAGACTGGTTTYTTTGCCAGGAGGTAAGAAGGGCTCTTCACAGCTTGAGTCCAGCAACCACCACTTGTGTATCACGTTACTTTGAGCCAGCTATGGAGTTATCCAAGTGTGTCTGGATAACTGGTGTAACTAATTTCAAAGTGCTTAATGGCCAATATTGTTAAAACAGAATATTGTGKAATGCTGAAACAGTCCAGAAAAACCCACACAATGCAACATATCCTCTCCTAATTTTTAGAGGTACACACCAGCATTTCAACATTGCATTCCAGGATACCACATCTGCAAAGCTTCCCTCAAGCCCCACAGAAAGGGCTTTTGTGATTCCAGTGGTCTAAATATAAATAGATTTTACATGGCTTTCACATCTCCAGCACTCCTGAGAGACTAGAGGTAAATTGGCTCAAGATGAACCTGAATAGCAGCCAAGCAGAGTGCTTCAAAGGGATGCAGCTTTCATCAGGTAAAAATATGGCTTTGCACAGCGTATTTAATGGGGAAAAACACCATAAATTTTCAACAAAGGACCAAGAACTAGAGGGACAGGGTTGTATCAGCAGTTAAGGGAAATTCTTACCAGAAATATTGCCTTACCTGATAAAGAGCAAATTTTGGGATAATATTCTTAGACTTAAGGAGAATCCTAACTTTTCGAAACATGATTCCAACAGCCCACAGAGCAAAAAGGGTGAGGGCACCAATGAAGCAGTTAATCCACAGCGCAGGTCCTTTGGGAGAYAACTGAGAAACAAATCACACAGCTTTATAGAACTGCACTTTGCATTTCACTGTTTCCAGGAAGAAGTTGTGAACTGGGTGATGTTAAAATGCTTGTTCCTATCTCTAAGGAAGCTGGTGGCAGCAACTGTTGCTGGTTTTTGCATGGGGAAACTGCCCACAGCCTGAAATAAGTTCTCCCCTGGCAGGCACCAACAGGGAGATGTGTTCAGCCTGGGCAGGGGCCAAGTGACACAATCCCTCAATGTTGCAATTGCCAGCCACTGAGTGTGTGCCTTTTCAAAGACCCCAGCAGCACCTGGTGACACTCAGCAGCTCATGAGAGCATATTCAGCCTGACATCTCAGATGGGTCATTCATTTTATACCATGAAACAGCAACAGAAATACAACTTTTAGTATGAGTTATCCAAGAGAAACAAAATTATTATCAGATAATTATCAGATAATAATCATATAATTAGATAAATATCATCATCTTGCAGGTTACATGGCACAAAGTAGAAGTACAGTACTATCTTCTCATTTTGCAGAGATATAAAAATCACCATGATTTGCTGAAAAACATAAAATTAGGCTTCCTATTAGCATGCCAGTACATACACTTGTTTCTTAAGGTTGTTCCTTACAAAACAGAGGTCAAATACATCCCACAGGGCTACTTGCAGTYCTGCCATTCTAACCACACAAGCTGGGAAATGTATTGGAGCATCATCTGATGCCCAACCCTCAGATGTCCAATTTTTTTTCCAAGAGAGTCAGGGAAGGCAGAAATTATATGCTTCAGGGTCTCAAAAGAATACAATAAGGACTCASTTGGAAGTGCTCCCAGATTTCACAGTTTAGGTGTAGGCTGTTAGTAACATCAACCYTAAAACCTATGGAATTTGTGGACCATCTCTGATTATAATATTTACTTACATTGTAAAGGACGTAATYGCCATTAGTCCAAAGCACTATTGATAAAAATATGAGCATAGGCCGAAGGACAGCAAACTGAAAGGTGCCCAGCTTCAGCCAAAATAGGGCTTGCCTGGCCAAAAAAAAAATGAAACAAACAAAAAAAAAATCAGATAGGTCAAAATCTTATTAGCAACCTTAATAACATTTTCTGGATACTGTCAACTGCAAAACTTCTCCAATCTCGTAGAATGTGGCTAAAATCTGGGGGAGGAACAGCTTCAAGATCAGAAAATCTTTCCAAGAATTTCCCAAGTTTTATTTAATAAAGTCTGTACAAAAGTAGTACTTTTCCTGCAGCAAGTACAAACCAAAGCTGGGCCAAACGTGATGTCTTTCTCTTGCCCTGAAGCCAACCAGGGAGACAGTAGCTGCATAACCGGTTTCTGAACAATTTGCTYTTGCCTTTGTTGCCTTATTATTTCAGTTCTCCCATGAAATGGGTAAATCAGCCTGCTCAGTCATTTCCTAGTCCTGTGGTAGAGCACAAAGGGAATCACACAGACCCAGGTGAAAGCACTGATAGTTTTTCAGTGCATCACGAAGAGCACCATGTCAGCATCTGGTTTTGCTCCTCTGTAGTTTAACAGAAGAAAGGAACTCTCTCACTCAGCAAATTCCACMAGGCTGACAGGACAGCTCAGGATTCCTTCACTTCTGTCAGTACAAAGTGGGTCCTGAACACAGCCTGGAACCTCAGCCAGCATGAAAGGCCACCAGGAAAGGGGGAGATGAACTTTCTAACAGCAGGCATGAAAGCTGACTGACCTGAGCTCTCCTTCAGCCTTCCCAGGACAAGCTGCAGCTGCCTCGTGGTTCAGCCTGTTACTGTGCATCATTTCCCACACTTTCAGTGCTGTTTTCACTGTTTTGAGTTCCTTGAGACTGCCATTGGACATGTCTCAGCAGACAGCAGGCTGCCATTTAATATGCTAAAGGACACTAAAGCCCTGAACCAGGAATTATAGGAATTGCTCAATGTATATAGCTAACAACCAGAGGATTATCAACAGCACAAACACATGTGGAAAGACCTGCAGCGGGCCAGCCATTTAGTGTGTGCCTTTTGAAAGATTTATTATTCCCAGAGGGCTTTAAAGAATAAAAGAYACAGACAAACAGTGCAGTCACTGCAATGCCATGAGTTGCTTCCCTTGTTAACATGGGGCCCATCTTTATTAATCACCAGATTTCTTCTGCCACAGTGCTCCCTATTGCGTAGTTTGTTACATTGCCTCATCTCTACCTTGTTTTTCCCAGGACTGCACATAGTACAAGTTTTTTTTTAAAAGAATGAATCCCTCCCTTGGGGTGGCTTCCTGTTTCCCCATAAGATACCAATGGAAGGAACACGAGACTAACTTTTCTCTTRCATAGCTTGCTTATTTATTTTTTTAATGTACCCTGCAATGGGAAAAGGCTGGAGGTTAGAAGCAGAGAGCAGATGGGTTTCCCAGTRGTACAGATACCAGAGAAGGAGGCCTAAGCCCTCTGCAGAGCAAAAAGCCTTTTTATTTCAGACAGCTGTCCTTCCCCTCCCCAAGCTCCCAATTCCTACAAACTTATACACAGAGTAATAGACGTGGGAAGAAAAACCAAATAAATATATGATTTTTAGTATCTTTACTACCTCTTCTTGGGTACCCCTCCATGTAAATATTTCGTGTTACTCTATTAAAACAAAACAATGGAAACAAAAGTTTAAATTCTAATACCAAATGAGGCAGTTTAAGGAMGAACTATTATATAAAAAATTAGAATTTTTGAAAATGTGTTAGAAACCACAATGCTGCATTCTGTGTGATGCTTTCCTTTGAACAAATCATAAAGACCCCAAAGTGTCTTTGACACCAAAATCCACACTCTCTTAGAAGAGTCTCACTTTTATGTTCAGTCCCTCAGATTTGCCTCACCACACAATGCCATTTCATTGAGATCAAAGCTTTACAATAATTACATCTCCTTTTTGTTCTAAAAATTATTTTAATATGAAGTAGTTTTAAAGTAAAAATCAGAATGAAAAAAAAATCAATTTTATCAAAGTGAGAGGGATTTTCTATCAAGAGAGCCTCCATTCTGCTTGTGAAAAACACCCAATTTCAAGACATTTGTTCCCTTCTGGAATGAAAAGAAACTGAAATGTCAATTATTAGGTTTTCTAGAGTAGAAATTTTTCCTCCCACACACCTCTGCATTATAGAAAAGAAAGAAATTAGTGGTGGTGAACAGCCCCACAGTGATGATGCTGTTGAAAAGAGACAGCTTCAGATGGCTTGAGACTTTTAGGAAGCTTTTCTGTAAGCCTGGCCCTGCCGAGCTGGTTTTTTTTTTGTTTTTTTTTTTTCCAGCAGCCGTTTTCAAGCTGGGAAATCTTTAAGGGGAGACTCACCTGGTGATGGGCACACGAGGGAGGCAGGGGCAGCAGCAGCAGCAGGGGCCCGTGCTGATGGTGAAGCGACCATTTTCAAAGTGCCTGAGGAGCACCTTCTGGCCTCCACACTCCTTAATCATCATCATCAGGAACTTGTGGATCACTATGGCAAAAAAACTAGGAGAGGAAGATAATTTCAGCTTAAACTTGCCTGTGTGTGTCTCTTGTGTGCAGGGCAGTGGCACCTTCTGTACAGGGTTTTTACAGCCTATGCTTTACAATCAAGAAAAATTTCAGCTCTGTCTGTGAGACACCTTCTGCTTTCCAACACCTTGGAGGATCAGAACAGCCYTAACCTCACTGTTAGAGGAATAAAATGAGGCACAGAGCAGGTATGAAATTTCCCAAAGCCATTCTTGTGTCTCTTGTGTGCCTGTGCAGGGCAGTGCCACCTTCTGTACAGGGTTTTTACAGCCTATGCTTTGCAATCAAGAAAAATTTCAGCTCTGTCTGTGAGACACCTTCTGCTTTCCAACACCTTGGAGGATCAGAACAGCCYTAACCTCACTGTTAGAGGAATAAAATGAGGCACAGAGCAGGTATGAAATTTCCCAAAGCCATTCTTGTGTCTCTTGTGTGCCTGTGCAGGGCAGTGCCACCTTCTGTACAGGGTTTTTACAGCCTATGCTTTGCAATCAAGAAAAATTTCAGCTCTGTCTGTGAGACACCTTCTGCTTTCCAACACCTTGGAGGATCAGAACAGCCCTAACCTCACTGTTAGAGGAATAAAATGAGGCACAGAGCAGGTATGAARTTTCCCAAAGCCATTCTGGTGGCAGAGTTGGTATTACAGCACAGGCTTTCCTGGCCCCAGTCATTATGGCAGTATTTTTCCATAAGTTATCTAGTTCTGACTAGTCCAAACTTTTCAGAACAAGTCCTCTTCCTCCTCAAACATGGCTTTCAACCAACAAACATGGCTAGGTTCATATAAAYAGCTATCTCCAAATGTGCTGGCCCAGGCAGGGTGTGGCTCCCCTGCAGACAAAGCACGGGGTGCTGCAGCCCCACCTCTCCCTCCTTGCCCAGGGGCACATTGTCAACCCTCCCCACAACCACAGATTGTGCTACCCAACTGACTCGTGGAAATCCAATCAGTAAAAAAGGTCCTCTTCTGCACTGCCTGCAGCTTGGGCAGGGGAGGAGGGGGAATTTAAACATGTCTGAAGTGCCACAGGACTGGACTGTTGGAAGTTSCTGGCAATCTGCACTACCTGCATGCCAACAGCGTGCCCTGCTGCTGTGCTGTCCCTCCTCTTTCACTCTACACTTTCAGTAAACGCACTGTGACACAGGGTGAGGCACCTCCTCAGAGTTTTGTGATACGGTGCTGCAGTGCATTCCAAAATCATCTCCAAATGTAGAGTGCTCAGGGCCASGGCATCCCCCCACCCGGTCCTGCCCACCAGGGCTGTGCCATCCTCTCCAGAAAGCAGGGACCACGGTGCTCCCTTCTTCTCTGTGCACGCCAGAACTGTCACACTCATAAAGTGCTTTTATCAGGACAACTGTGGAACATTTTTGCATTGATATACTCATCAGGGGCTCACTTGGCACCATTAATAATMGACCTCCACGGTTCATCATTAGTAAAAGTGCAGGGAAGGAGTCACAGGCCAGACTCTCATTCCACATGACAYGCAGAGAGAGGAAAGACAGACTACAGCTCCAAAGAGACTGTCAATCCAAGGAATCAATTACATGCAAGTCACAGATCCTTCACATTGACGTTCCCACACTAGGGGACTGGAGCACTGGGAACTGTTTCAGCATTTTCCACCTCCCAGAAAAGAGCTGCCAAGAGATTTCAACTCGAACAAAAAAATTACCGAATTGTTAAATTTACAAAATKACTGTGTTACCAAGAGCAGCAGATGTTTAAAGGGAAGAAATTCAGGGTTTGGAACAACATCCAGAAACAAGCAGAATACTCACATTCCTGCTGTGAAATCTGTAAACATTGTTGAGCGAGGAACCCACATGCCAATGCATGAAGTAGTGGAGATCACCTACAGGGAAAGGGAGGAGGGTTGTGTGAAGGGCAGAGATAAAGCTCATGTGTCTCCAGGGGATTTTCAGGGAAGCCCTATTTTCAACATTCAGTTTTATCTCGTTTCCATGCTAACTTACTGGAGCTGCAGCATTAATCCAAATTATGATTGCTCTTTTGGAGGAGGGGATTTTCCTGTAGATGTAGACTGCTTCCTCTATAAACACCAGGATGGCAATGAGCGTCATCAGAGTCAAGGTTGCAAAGAGAAATCTGCCTGGTAGGTCAAGGCCTGCRGAGAGAGAAAGGAAAACAGACAGTTCTGATTTATTTCATAAGCATTTCAAACATTAATGTAACAACACCATCTCTGAGGGGCTTCTTTSCCCTAATCCTGCAAATATTTGCACTCATCCTTAGTTAGACAGGCAGACCACTGACTCCACARAACAGTTCAAATACTGACGTTCATGACTAAATCTTTCCAGGATCCACAGACAGTATGTGGGAAGAATACRCAGTCACCTTCTCAAAGCATTGTGCAATAGTCCCTTTCAGAAAGGTGGAGTTCCAGGACAAATATCCTTAGGTGAATGTAAATATGTAGCAGAAATAAATACATAGTACARACTACAAATAAATACAGTAAATACATAATCTGGGAACTTTTCCAGGTTGGCTACAAGCAAGCATGTGTTCACTCAGTATTAGCTCTCCACTTCCCTCATATTTTCATGGACACGTTACATGTAACTTCCTTAGGCAGGCAAACTTACAAGAAGCTCGGTGGAAGTCTGTARGGCACACAAACAATGTGAGAGAAAGCCCCTGGTATGCCTAGCCTGAAATAAAACTTGATGTCTTCACCAAAATCTTTTTTGCTTCTCCCTTGAAGATGCATATGGATATCCACATTTACCCACGGGTGATGGGGTTTATGTCTCCCTTGACTCTGGGTATGGATATCAGCTTTTACCCACAACTGACGTTTGAAGTGCATTTTCTACCAAGGGATGTGTTTCCAGAGACAGAAGAAAGTCCTGCCGTGTGTGGACTCATGTTTAATTTAGGAGAATTTCATGTTCATCATCAGTGCTAACTCCCACGCTCTATTTGAAGCAAAGCAGAGCCTCTGTCCCAACCTCTTTAACCGAACCCACTTGAAAAAAAAACAAACCAAAAAAAAACCAAAAAAAAACCAAAAAACCGGCGCTTCCAGACTTGTCTGCAGGCGGGGCAGTGCACGTTTCAGTGGGTATCTCCTCTCCTCAGATCTCATCGGAGGGAGCCCGAGACCTGGCGCATCTCCACCGGTTCAGCGCTCTGTTCCGCGGGTCCCGGGTGGCCCCAGAGCTCCAGCCCG